GGCTTCCACCATTACCTACATGCCAAGAATGAAATTAAGTCACTTTTTTTTTTTTTACAGAACACATGACAAGACATCAAACTCTGTGTTACATGCAGCTACCCGCTGTGTAATATCAGGAAAAGATGCAGTGGCTTTAAGATGCTGTAGACATGTGCTAAGTTTGCAAACCCAGAACACTTTTGGAGATCCAATCCAAAGCACTGCACATCTTCAATTTGTATGCCAAGAAAAATATTAAGCACAGTTCATCTTCATGAGTCAGTCTAAAAGTGAAAAAAACCTACCTGGATTTTAGGAAGAGAACTCACACAATTTCTAGGCAGGAAATTATATTATGTAACTACAGGTGCTTAACTCAACGCTGACACTTAAGGTAGAAGCACAGATAAACATTTCATTTTCCAGTTTCTTCAAAATGAGACAAGTTAGAAAAGAACACGCATATGCACCTTCTGTTGCAGAAACTGTTCCTTCACCTTCTGTGTTTGCTTCTTCAGATTTGCACTTTCATGTTGCAGATTTTCCACCTATCGGAACAAAATAAGCAGCAGCACTGAATAAGAACTAAAAAAGAGAATTCCTTCAGGGTCATGAAGACAACCTAATTACAATTACATTTCAATTACAAGACCACAGATTATCTGGAGGCGGTTGATAAAAGTTTAATTCCACCACCAAAGCAGAATCTGAAACCTAACATTTAAGACAAAAGTTGCAGTGGGAACAGGTAAAGTTCCTTTGCTTTGAATAAGTGAGTTTGAACATTTGGCCTATCAAAGGGCTATTTTCAGCCAGTACTCCAAATAAGAGCATTAAAGCATTGGGTATGTAAATTATTCCTCTTGAAAGTTGAGAATCTCTGCTTTTGGTAATGGTTTTAGCCAACACCTTGACATGTTCAGTCTGAAAACACCCTGATATTCACAGGTCACAACCACCACCGATCATCAACCATTGGTAACTAACGTCAAGCCTTGCGAGCCCATCAAACTCAGGAAACAAGAACCACTTGGATTTCTGGAAAGATCTTTATTGCCAGTAGGGATAATGCAACAAAACCTTGAAAGCCTACTAAAACAATTCTCCTGATACCTAGCAAAATTGAGGCTGTTTCTCAATTCCCCACCTTTTTTTTGCAATTGTCCTTTTTCCTCCTCCACTTTCCATCACACTAACCAAAAGGAAAAAGGGATGCTTAAATGCAGCAAATTACCTGACTTGATTTGATGGCTATTTCTTGCCTCAGTTGCTCCAGAACTTCTGATGCTGCCTCTGTGTGGCCTCCTAAATGCTGGATGCCCTCTTCAAGTCCTTCTTGGCCTGTTTTCGCCACCTGCAGGGCAACCTCTAAGACAATCTTCTCATTCTGCAAATACCGGATGGTGTCGTCCTTCGAGGTGGCTTCTCCCTGCAATTCAGCCAACCTGGCCTCCAGCTCATCATAGCGCACCTGAAGCTCACCCAAGGTTTGGTCTTGGGTCTGTAACGTCTCTTGGGTGGAGGTCAGTTGTTTCATGAGATCCAGCTGTTCCTGCTGCAGAGTCTCCACCTGAATGTCTCGCTGATGCAGCGTTAATTTTACCTGAGCCGAGAACATAAGGAAATTCACCGTCACTATGATCTCCTCCCACTGGAAAAGCACACATCCTTCACCTGGGCTTAACTCTTGATGAAGGAATGAACAACCTGTGGCTTCACCCAGATCCCTGAAACTCAACACATGTTTTCCAAAACTTTGAGGCAAGATACACAGGAAAACTGAAGCAAGAGTCCAAAAATAGGTTTAACATGATATATACATACGTGTGTGTGTGTGTGTGTGTGTGTATTTAGAAGGAAGATCTCAGCCCTGGTTACTGATGAGATAATGTAGTGTGCTAAAAAACATTAGACACAACCTCAAGTTACTAATCCAGAGAAATAAGTCAGTGGCAGGGAGGATCAGGGCCTTATTCAGAGTAGCCCCTACATTCTGGAACAAAGTTTGGGAATCACACGTCCTTGGCTATAATGCAAAATAGAAAAAGTGTGCACCTTTTCTAGCTCCTGTTCCAACGCTGCTGCCGAATCAGCCATCTTCTGAAGCTGCTCTTTCTCTTCCTCAAACTCCTCCAGTTTCCTCTGCAGATCCTCTTCCACCATACTCTTAGCCTCTTGGATCTGCAGAAAGGCCGCTTCCTGGTCTAACATGTCGGCCTGTCCAAAAGCACCAGATGTTGTTAAAAGTGTGGAAACAGCTGCCAAGGGAATGCTAAGATACAGGAACTTTGGGGGGCCGTTGTTGAGAATCCCACAAAGAAATCTGACACCAGGCCTGAAGCAAAGCTTCTTTAGGGCCGGGTCGATCTAATCCTATCTTAAGGATGAGGGAGGAAATTCAGATTAATTGTGAATTAATGACTAATAAAACATGGCTTATGACAGAAGACATGTCATTCTGACCTGAAATGAAAAGCGACTCATTTGTCCATTCCTAATCTCTATAAGGTTCATCTTCCACTGATTACGCTCACGATGTAATCCTAGCCATAGTTTGATGGGAGAAAATCTCAATGAAAACTGGTTCCTCCTAAACAGGAACAGATTTAGTTCCTCTTCAGGCATTCCCCATTCGTTCACACACCCACAAGAAAAGGGTACGTATCCAGTTAACTGTATCTTGCTACTTCATCCAAACACCCTCACAAGCCTGTGCTCAATGTGAAATATGCTTTGCTTGAAATAAGCTGGTATAAAAACCACTGCATTTACCTGTGCAACTGAATCCATGCAAGATTTGTTAGGTTTCTGTATTTATCTGAACCAAAAGAAACATGGATAAAAGAGCTTCTGACTTCCATTTTTTTAAAATAACTGACCAGAGCGCGTCAACCTGAAGTCCTTCAGGTGTTCAAGACCCTTAGCAGGCCCGGCGACAAGAGGCCAGAAACAGTATTTCCAAACTTTGGGTAGGCATCAGATTGCATACAGAGATACATTCCTGAGCATTTACTCCTTGTTCATTTCTGCAGATTTACAGTTTAAGGATCGGCAATCAAATATTCCTTTCAGGAAATTTGAGGTCCAGAGAGAAATCTCTAGAATCCTTACCTCAATATTTTGTAGCTGTGCAGCTATACGCTCCTTCTCTTTGATGGATCTATGCTGAGTCTCTGTTAACTGATGGGACAGGGTTACGTTCTCCAACTTGAGATGCTCCAGCAGACCAACCTGAGTCATCTGACCAGCCTTGGGAAAACAGGAATCACGAGTGGGAAGAAGGAAAGGTACTGTTATAACAACTGTATTTAGAAACATACGAAGAAATCAATTCCCAACCATTAGGGCTATAGTTTATGGCCCTCTTTTCTTTGGATTAAAAGGCCATTTCACTTATAATTGTGTGTCCAAAGAGACACAGAGCAGTCATCTATTCCTGATTTCTGTTGCTCTCAGTTACCATCATGTGGTTTTATATCATTGTTTCTTTGTGAGTTTTTAATCCTATGCTAGCTGCCCAGAGTTGCCATTGCGAGATGGGTAGCCGTAGAAATCAATTAAATAAACCAACAAGTGGGAACAAGAATAGCCTTCGCTGTAGTAGCCATGGAAGACTCTGGAGCCAGTTTGCGCCAGAGTCAAATGTTCGGCAGTTCTCCAAGGCCCCCTCTCTCACCAACAAGGCTCAGCCACAGGTGCAGTTCTACAGAGAAACGTGTAGGAAATTGTTTCCTGTTGAAGGCAGGGACTGTGACCCAGTTCGAGACCATGTTCAACCAATCACCGATCAACTCTATTTAATTAACGACATGATAATACTGCGCATATAGAAATATGCTCTAGGTATGGAATGAGAAGGGGAGAGAGGAAAGCTGTGATTACCTTTATGTTGGCCATATCGCTCTGCAGGCGAATTCTTGCCTGTTGAGCTACAGCCAACTGTTGTTGATACCAATGCCGAACTTTCTGTAGCGATGCGATCTCCGTCTGAGACGACTTCAGCTTACTAGTCAAGGACGTGCGGTCCAGCTGGACCTGCTGGAGCTGGCTTTGTAAAGAGGAGAGCTGCTGCCGGAGATCATGAACTAAAAGGCCAAGGAAAAATTTGAATTAGAGGAAGGGCAGGTTAGGAAAGTCCACTTGTAGCTACCAACAGCAAAGAAGGTCCAGTTTATTCCCACTTTTAAAAAATCCAGGGTAGCTAAATAAAACAGGCCAAATGATAAGAATACACTTCGAAACTGCAGCCAGGTGAAAGTCTAAGGATAAATCATACAACGCCTGATGGAACGGAACAAGTTGTCAAAATACACAGAAGCAGGGAGACAGAAGCCCCTGAATGGACTTTCCCAGGGAGACACATCCACAATCATGAAGCCACCCCCTCAGGAAGTCTTGATCCTACCACCTACCAATGAGATGATCATTAAGGATAGATCAGAAAAAGAAGGTTCTGATTTCACTCAATACAGGCTCGTATTGATGAAGAAGTGTTTCAAAAAATGGCCCGGGGTCAGGTTACAATCAATGTATCTTTGAAAAGTACCCTTTGGGGCCATAGGATTCTCACACAACAGCAGAGCAGATGGACTGAAGATGCTTGGCTTGGGTCTACTCACCCATGCTGTCCTTGTTAAGGACACTTTTCTGCAGGTCTTCCACCTTCCCCATCAGTCTCTGGTACTGTTCTTCTGCCAACTGCAGATCGTTATTGGAAGCAACCAAGCCAGCATTCTTGGCCTCCAACGTGGCTTGTAGTTCTGCCATGGCATGTTCCAGTTCCCAGCAGGACTGCTTCAAGGTAGCAACCTCTGAATTCAGGGAGTCCTGCTTCTGCTGGCTAGTCTGCGTATGCTCCATGTGGGTTTGGAGTTTCATATGGACAGCAGCCAGCTGGGCTTGCAACTCTGCTTTTTCTTTGAGAGCCTACACAAAGCCAAATCTGGTTTCACGTCTTCTATCAAACCAAGGCAGTAACAGATGTGTCATAATTGAAACCAGGATGAGGTGGGCCTTCAAAACCTTCTATAATATCCTCCATTTTTTTGCCACGGGAGCAGGTATCTCCTCCATGGTACCTCCTCAGACGGAATTTTTAGTAGATGTGTTATCACAATCATCCCACATTCTCTCAAGATCACAAACCAGCCCCTATTATTTTCACATTCATTCTCTAGGAAGAACAGAGGCTGGACACCCATCTACTGGAAATGCTTTAATTTGGATTCCTGTGCTGGGAAGCAAATTGAACCCTGTGGCTTAAATGGCCCCTTCCCAGTCTAAGATTCTACCAACCTCAAGAACTTTTGAAAGCTGCAAATAGACTAGGTCTATTAGCAATGACCTGAAATGCACACCTTCTTTCCACAGATACCCCATATATTCCATAACCCATCCCTGAACCTACAGAAGCAGTGATATGCTTCTTTGGATCCTGGGAACACAAGAAGATCCTTTTAGAACTCCATTTGTACCTCATTGGCTTCCAATGACAGGGCCTCCAACTGTCCCTCAAGCCTCATCTTCTCTTTGAGGACTTGGAGCAGTTCATCCTGGGTGCCTGCGACAGAACTTTCCATGGATATACTGGGGTGAGACAAAACCAACAAACACTGTTATGAAGCTGTGCCAATTACATGCAGGGTTGTTTCCCAGAATCACAGAGTCAGAAAGCATCAGAAGGGTCATCTCATCCAACCCTCTGCAACGTGCAGGAAACTCAGTGAAACCATCCAGCATCTTCTTAAAAACTTCCAGAGACAGAGAAACCTCAATCACCATAGGTATATTGTACAGAACTTGCATTCAGGAAGGTGTTTTTTTTTTTTCTTATTTGTTCTACGCTGGCAACATCCAACTCAAGAGAGAGTTCAAACCAACTCTCACTACCAGATTTCAGACAACCTGGTACCTCACCCACTCTACAGCCACATGGGCGACACGGCCATTTTCAAAACAGCCTTGCAAAGGTTCCTGCTTCCGAATTCAAAAAGGAAGAGGACTTTCCGACCACTGCAAATTTGAGTCTTAGTTTTATTGTTTTTTTGTTGACATGCTAAGCCTAGTAGGCTGTTTTGCCATGCTGGTTGCAAGGAAAGGAAGAGGGCGCTTCCCACCATAACTGTAAGAGAAATGCACACACACACACACACACACACACACACACACACACACACACATATACTCTGACATGGAAATCGTGCCACACTCTGTGGGCAGACTGAGTATTCTGGAACATACGCTGATGCAGAAACCAAGACATTCCTTAGCAGATCAAACAAATGCAAGAGAAGATTCCAAGACGGAACATTTGGAGTTGGAGAACAGTCGCAAAGTCTGCTTTACCTGCTGGAAACACTGTCCCGCCGGCTTCTTGCTTCCCCGTTGATTTCCTGGTCCTGGGCGCGATGCTCTGTTGCAGCCGCCTGTAGCACCTCCCTGATGGAAGGAAATTGTCCGACGGCATCCAGCGGGACTTCCTGCCCATTGATGGTGAATGCCATACCCTGCTTGTTCCTGGGGCTGAAGAAAGCACCAGTGGGGCCCCTTCCCGACACACTACTGTAGGTAGAGCTATCGCTTTCGTTACCATCCAGCCTCATGCCTGTTTCACTGCCATCCATTTCTGACATGCTGTCTCCTGCCAGGGAGGAATCTTCCAGTCGGTCATCTGGATCAGGGGTCAGACTGATGGACGACACAACCGATGTTAGACTGCTTGAGTTCTGTTTCAGAGCTCCGCCCGACGAATTGGCACCTGGAACGGTCCCGCCGGCACTTCCCTCCGGGTGTTCTGTTCGATAATCTGCCAGAGACCGAATCCTGCTTGTCCTGGACAATTTGGAACTTTTTTTCTCTTTCAAGGGAGCTGGGAGTCCCAGGCTTCCCACTTTGGGTCCTCGCGGGACACTGGTTCGCAAGAAGGAATATTCTTTGGTCATTGCTACGGGGCTGGCCCTTGGTAAGATCTCTGGATTCAACATCAGCTCGGGATCCAAGGTACTGGAGGGGCGGCTTTTAGCTGTAAACAGCTGGAGTAAAAGAAGGAAGGCAGGAAAGGAAGAATATAAAGGGGGAAGAAATTGGAAAACTATTTTATTTATATCCTGCCTTCCCTTTTTTATTTATGTCCCACCTTTCCTTTTAATTTGATTTGTACCTCACCTTTTTTACTTGATTATATCCCACCTCCTTTTTGATTTATATCTCATCTTTCCTTTTTTATTTGATTTATATTCTGGCTTTCCTTCAGAAGCTCAAGCCAGCATACACACCACTCCCTCCTCCCACTCTGCCTCACAGCAACAACCCTATGCGGTAGGCTGGGCTCAGACTGATTGGCCCCCAAGTCACCTTGGGAACTTCTGAGGCTGGGGGTGGGCTAGAATGTGAGTTCCCCAGTGCCAGTTCTACACCTTCACCACTCCACCCCATTGGCTCTTTTTGAACATCTTCCTTTTCATCAACTAATTCCTTGAGTTGTTTTGTGGTTTATCCTTCACAAAAGTGCCACAAAGGCAGCTGCTGGAAGCTTATGAACTGGAAGGACAGCTTCCCCTTTTTCATGGGAGACCCCAAGGTGTAAATAAATAGAAATGTCCCTTTCTTTTATCCATCTTCGTCAAGTTTGGAATCACTAATATTCCCACTACCTAGGAAGGATTCTATAAACACCAGATGAGTCCCACTGGCATCTGAACATCATTATCTTCGATCCCTTGTTCTATTCAAAGCTCCAGCCTGGATAAAAAGTGAGATGGCAAATGCACCACACCAACTTTTATTAAGAGAAGGAAAAGCAGAGCCAATCATAGGTCACCCAAAAGCTTTCCCCCAGCCTCAAACACTCAAGGCCCAGTTAGCACATCTCATTAAGCCAACCTTGGTTTCACCATGTTTTTCTGAATAAACTACAACGGACTGAGTTCACACCACAAACTCTACAAGCTATGATTTACAAACAAGTATGCCGGGGTTGACCCAACACACTCAGCCAAATCTAAAGAACCTACATGATGGCTTCAAGAGATGCGTCAACTCCACCCTCACCAGATTTTCTCAGCTTAGGGGATCTTCTGAGCCCTTCTGGTTGCAAGACACTGCCCAGCATCCATTGGGGTTGGGTGGCAAATAAATGTAAGGAAATATCATCATCATCATCATCATCATCATCATCATCATCTCCTGCGCATCTTTTTTCCAGGCACTTACTCTCTCCTGATGCCTCTTTACGCGATACTGCTTGAGTTGCTCCTCCAGGCGCTTCCGTGCCTGGATCCGGATTTGTTCTTCCTTCTCCAGCGGGAGAGGAGCATCTGCTGAACCTGCAGAATGAAGAGCAAGTTGAGCAGTCCAGTGACTGCCCTGCGCCGATAAGCAAGGAGATGGGACAGACAGGAGGCCCAATTATTCCTTTGTAAAGCCGTAAGAAATTTAGAGACAAGGTAAAAAGGAGAAAGAAAGAGGCAAAAGAATTTCTCGGTTTCGGTTTTGCGGAAGTTAATTTTTGCTGTGTTTGAAGAAAGGTATTTCATGAGAAAGGAGAATGCTTCCAGATCCCATTCAGCGTTCCAGAGATCAACCACCACATGCCTTCCAAACTTAATTAGGATGATCAACAGGAAAAGGCCTGAGAACATTATAGTCCAAAACATCTCAAAGGCACCAGTTTTATTCTTCACTAATAATTGGTGTTGTTTTTAATTGCTGATGGGTGGTTAGCCACCCTGAGTCTCATTCGCGAGATGGGTGGCCATGTTAATCTATTCAATCAATCAATCAATGAATAGCTGTTGTCCCTTGCTCATAATAGGATCCAGCAATTACACAACAGAAGCTTTGCATCACCAGCTTATCCGCATTAAGGCTGGAGACACTCCAGGTCAAAGGAACAAAAGGTCTGATTTCAGCTGAGAGAGACACTTGGCAGGTCTAGTTCTGAATGTAGGTGTGAATTCTCAGGAGGTTTCATATTGTGCTCCTGGCATGCAAAACCCCCCATTTTAAAGCCATTTCACTATGAGTCAGATGGGTGTAATCACACCTTACAGGTGGAGAACGGAGGCCAAGACAGAGCAACTGTCTTATGCCACCAGGAATTGAATGGACCTCAGCATCCACACTTCTGGCCTTGTAGTCCAACCTGTACCTTTGAAATGCTTCATCATCTGAGTGTAATTTGTGTGTGGCCACACGGAGCACCACATGGGTGTGAACTGTGAGGAAAAGGCTGGAACACCCAGACAGCCTTACCCTTCTCATTCCACCACATAAAATTCAAGCAAGTGAGGCCACATGCATGGTTAAACAGACTTGCTAACAAGCAGTAGGAGAACGTGACCCCAAAAACTCCAATTCCATTGATATTAAGAGCACAGCTCACTCCAGCTGCCCACCAGGGGTTCAAAGAATTAGTTTATTACTCCTTCCACCTAATTACCGGGGGGGGGGGGCAGGCAACTTATTTCGGTCACAGCCAGCTTCTTCCCTGGAATTTCTTAGCCTCTGAGAATTGCAGGGAAATGGCAGTGATGAGATGTGTCACCAGAGAAGCATGGTTCAATATTTGATTATTTGGAACTAAGGCAGCATGACTTGGGGGGGGGGGTAGGGGGGCAGGTGGTATTCTCCAGGAGATGAAAAAATTAGTCTGAAAGAACTGCCTGACCCTCAGAATGAAGGTGGACAACCACCAAAGTTGATTGAACCGTGGTGGCATTATCAAATACGGAAACTAAAGTAACAATAGCATTGTGGAAGGCACCAAGATTTAGAGAGACTCCCCGCCCCCCCCGCCCCCCCGCAT